TATTTGATATATTATGAAATATGTTAATCTTTAATTGTGTATAACATTAATACATTTTCATGTTTAGAATCTTATAAACACACAAATAGAATTTATAAAATTAATATGATATAATTTTCAACAAAATTATAATTATAAGTTATATTTATTAAATTCTAGGTCAAATAAATAGTTAAAAATATTATTAAAAAACTAAAAAAAATAGATTAGGTGGGCTGCCTAGGTGGCTAGGCAGTCTAGGCGGGCCAAAATCGGATGACCCATTTTCTACAAGGATTTGGCATAAATCGGGGCAGAGGAGGGTCGCCTAACGCCTCTTCCGCCCCCATTTATGCCAAATCATTTTAGAAAATCGCTGTATTAAAATTGAAAATACCAAATAATGTATAATATTATTTTTGGTGTAAATTTAGTGTTATGATTTGAAATGAAAAAAAAAGTATAACATCTAAACGTTAAATTTAGTGGAATTAACACCAAATTTGGTTTTTTTATGTAAAAAGAGTTTACTCAACCTAGAGATGGTAATCATGGATCTGGACCGCAGGTCTGGCCGTAAAGAACTGTCACGGAAGGGTTTTGGGACAAGGTTATCTAGGCCCGTAAATTTACAGGCTTTGCGGATGAGTCTTTGCGGGACTGAGTCTTGCGGGATGGCTCGAAACAGATCATGTGGTATTACAAGGATCCACATTTTTTCTCTTCAACTTTTGTTTTACTTGAAAAAACGAGAAAGAGAGTGAGACGAATCTGATTCATGTGAATTCTACCGAGAAAACCTAAGGAGCTCCGACGATGATGATTCTAGCTTTAGTGATGATGATTCAAGCTCCGGGGATGACGACTGCCGCCCCGGCGATGACGATTCAAACTAGGCATGGGCGTTTGGGTCTTCAGGTCGGGTTCCGGCCGGTTCCTCTCGGGTCCGGGTCCTTTGGGTCTTAAAATTTGGACCCCATAGGTACTTGTAAAATTTCGCTTTGGATTCAGATCAGTTCTTCCCGGGTCTGTGTCAGTTCGGGTCTATAATTAAAATACCCGTAAAGTATTGGGTCCCATATCGGGTCCGGGTCGGATTCGAGTATTTAGAATTTAAAATGAGATGAAATTCCTAACCCATTAAATTTAGTCAAAATTTATCATATATATATTATTGTTTTTATGTAAATAATTAAAATAAACATTTTTAAACTCTCAATTTTATATCTAAACTTCGTATTACTTGAAAATGCTACATATATAATAAAAAAGATTGATAAAAGATATTTAAATTAAATCATAAATACAATATAGAAAATAGAACACAAAAAATCATAATTTTGGATATTCATGTTTTTGAATTGGGTAAAAATCGGTTCTTGGCGGGTCGGGTTTATTCGGGTCGGTTCTTTTCGAGTTTGGGTCTATTCGGGTCGGTTCCTTTAGATACAAATTTTTTGGACCAATAGGTACTTTTAAATGTTTGGTTTGGTTTCAGGTCGGATATTTTTGGATCGGTTCCGGTTCAGATTTTCGGGTCTGGGTAAAATGTCCAGGTCTAATTCAAAATCTGACGTTTGATCTGGTTTTCTCTTTTTATTTAATTTGGGATTGACAATTTAATAGTTCTTAACCAACCACCCAGCTTTATGATTTGATGTTTGGTTTTATTTAATTTTTTTGGTTCAGAAAATTAAAAAATTAATTATGAACTTATGATTTATAAGCTGATGAAAAATATCTTATGCAATTATTTTTAGTTGGTATGTTAATATGTTTTGGGTGTGATAAAAGTAACTACAATTATTGTTTTGAAAAGAAAATTAAGAAAATTGATGAATCATGTCCAGTTGAATTGACGATTTGAATCATGTTTCGATTGGCTTGAAGCATTTTGGACTGGTTTGAAGCGTTATGTTACGTGTATTATCACCTATCCTGCAGATCGATCTGCAAAGATTTGAACATATAGCGAAATGAGTTTGGACAGCCATTTCGAAGATCACAGCCCACGCAAATCTAACCTATTGTGATCCGCTTAAAAAAATCCCACTGCAGTCCGAAATGCGATGGAACAACATATTTGCCATCTCTAACTCAATCGCAAATTTGGTGTTATCTTTACAGAAGGCTTAATTACTAAAAGGAAAAATTTGATTAATTTTTGATTAATGATTATTTATATAATATATAATTGTTTAAGAGCGCATGTTTTGACGGATCAAGAATGTTTTCGCATGTCATATGATAATATGACATATCTTCATATTTACCGTTTGCAGCATCTTACAGTAACATTTTATTCTTTATTACTTTCTTTATTTCTTTTTATAAGGTGTTTTGGTTGATTGTATGGATATTAAGATATTTATCTTATTTTTAAAAATATTTTACGGATAAACTTTTAAAATCATTTAACCAACTATAAAAAAAAACTGAAAATTTTAATTGGTTGAAGAGTTTCCAACAAAATTAAAATTAATCATAAAACTTCAAAACATACCTTAAAATTTTAAAATATTTTATATTTTGAAATAACATAAACTTTCTAAAACATTGTATAAAAAAAACGGTGGGAGTATAAGCTAGTTTATTTTTCATATTTACTGTTTTCGGCATCTTATAGTAACATTTTCTTCTTCTTTGTTATAAGCTATTAACTGCAACCACTCCTGACAAATATATAAAGTGAAAACCTTTTATTACCAAACTAGATGATAACCCGCGCCATGCGCGGGGTGAGCTTTTTAAAAATATTTCGTATAAATAAATTTGTTGTTATCAATAAATTTTTTACATTTGATTAGGGATGAGTACTTGGGTACCATTTGGTTCGGTTAAATTCTATTTGGTTTAGATCTTTGCAGTTTGATTCGAATCTTTGCAGGTTCGGATTGAATTTATGTTCGGATAACCCATTTAATTTTTTTTAAAAGATTAAAATTTATATATACCTTAAATTTTTCAAAATCTAAAAGTAAAAATAATATATAACATATAAATTTTAAAAATGAATGCCAAAATACTTAAAATTAAAATAAAACTGATTTATCTTAAATATTTGGACAAAAAATCAATAAATATTTCAAATAGTTTTGGTATTTGGAGTCTCGTTTAGCTATTTTAAAAATGTACATTTAACTATTTTATATATTTCTAAGTATTGTGGAAAATTAAAAAAAAACTTCATGTATTTTGTATATTCTTAGATGTTAAATTTAAAAATAATTAATATATTTAAGTATATAAATCTGGTTCGAGTACACTCGGATACCCGAGATATTTCGATTCAGTTTTGGTTCTCTAGATACCAAAATTTTGAATCTGTTTGGATATCTACCCAATTTTGGTTAGATTTTTTTACTACTTTTTGGATTACATTTGGTTCTGTTATCTGGATTCAGTTTTTTGCCCAACCATATATTTTTTATTGTAACAAAAATTTAAACGAAAGAGATGACTGTTCATATTGATTTAGGGTATGCAATAGTTTTTAAACAAAACACACTCTATTATGCGCAATCCATTTAGTTAATTATTATAAACTGTTTAAGACCCATTAGAAAAAACAATTGGCTGAACTAAAAAACATTATCATTGATCAGAAAATTTTCAATGTGAGATTTTTACCATTTTTAGTAATTTATGATCGTTTTAAAAAAATCAAAATATAACATATAAGAAAAATTCTATTTTTTTAATTATATGATGAATGTGATTGTTTAATTTCTTTTAATAATATAAAATTAATAAAAAGTAAAGATGATAAAAATTGTTCTCAAATCTTTATTATTCATAAACATTAATTGTGATAATATGTTAATCATATTAGGTAATTCCGTAGATTGTATCTAAGGAAATAATAAAAAATATTCTTTTGAACACTACTAATTAAATATGATAGTTATTAGTAAGTATAATAAAAATATAACATATGTTTAGTTGGACCAACATATTTCTCTAAGAGTTATGAAAATCATTCTCATTGTGATACGTGTCTACCAAAAAATGTTGTAATGCTCAAGTATTAAAATATAGGAGATTTAAACTACTAATCAAAAATATTATATGTTAAATTTTGAAATGTTTTATTAATTTATAGTTGTTTAAAAAAATTAAAATATAAGATTTATAAAAAATATATATATTTTTTGTTAATAGTTAATGTTACTGTTTAATTTATTTTCACAATATAAGTTTAACAAAAATAGTAGAAACTATAAATGTTTTTTATCAAATCTTCATATTCGAATCATTTATTGTCATAAATATATTTTAACCATATTAGGTAATTTCGTAAATTTTATTTAAGGAAATAATGAATAGCATTAATAATATTTTGATGTTTAGTTTAATAAAAAGTATATTATATGTTTATATGAACCAACATTTTTTTTCTTGTATATTTGAGAATCATTCTCATGATGACACGTGGCTACAAAAACATATTGTAATGCTTTTCAATTAATATATATGGGATATATATATATTAAATGAGACTTCTTACTTATATAATTTTGTAATCATTTCTATTTTGTTATATAAAAATTTTTAACCATGGATCACAAAATTTCAATGTGAGACTTTGTAACAACTTTAGTCATTTATAATCGTTTTAAAAATTTCAAAGTATATCATATACGAAAAAAATCTAATTTTTAATTATATAGTAATATAGTTGTTTAATTTAATTTAATATGCTAAAACTTAAAAATACACTAATTTTTATCAAATCTTTATTATTGAAAATCATTAATTTTCACATATTCTTTAACCATATTTGGCAATTCCGTTATTTTTATTTAAGGAAACAATGAAAAACATTAATAAGTCATTTATGATTAGTTTAATAAAAAGCTTATTATATATTTACATGGACCAACATATTTTCTAAGGATTCTAAGAATGATTGTGGTGACGACACGTGGCTACAAAAAAATGTTGTAATGCTTCTCCTTTAATATATAGGGGATGTATTTAATTTATTAAAAAAGTTTCTCTGAATTCACCTTCTGCTTCAACACACACATGCTGTCTCTCAGAAAATCTCTCCGCCTCTCTAGATCCATTCTTCTCTCAATCAATCAGCTAGACACTGTCAAACCCTTTTTGCTTTCTCTCTCTTTGTTTATAAAGTTCTCAACTTTACATTTGCTTCTGCTGTTTTAGACCATCCTCTCTCTCTCTACAATCTCCTGATAAAGGTAGTTGCTTTATGCAGACAATTTTTTGGGTCTTGAGATTCCTGGGCTCTATGTTCTCCACTCGAATGATTAATGCCTGAAGCCCTCTTCTCGATCTGGGCAAATTTTGCAAATTGAGGAGAAAAAAATCATTACTTTCTTTCTGGGTTACAGTGTTTTCTCATAGTTCTAGGGTTCCTTTAGTTTCAACTTTTGTCATGTGGGTCACTTAATTAGGTACCAGGAGTGATGATGAATATTTAAAGGAGAGTTTTTGATTATAGTATCAATTTTTTGGGTAAAATTGAGAGATGGGCTGCGTTTGGTGTAAGCCTTCTGCTATAGAAGATAGTCCAAAGGAGAGACTTTCAAGCAAACCCTCTTCTGAGTATAGAGCTTCAAGACCAGTTGCTTCTTCTTCTAGAAGAGAAGAGTCTGTTAGGACAAAGGAACGGCCTGATGTTGTTAGTGTAGTAAAACCAGTGTTGAGTAATAGTAGTAGAAGAGAGAAGAAGTTAGAGAATGTTGCAGCTTCACAGTTACCAATGGGTATTACTACAACCATAGCAAAAGCAGCTGAAGGAGAGTATGTAGCTGCTGGTTGGCCTCCATGGTTGGCTTCTGTAGCTGGAGAAGCGATCAAAGGATGGGTTCCACGCCGTGCTGATTCTTTCGAGAAGTTGGACAAAGTAATATTCTTCCTTCTATTGGCATGTTTCCAAATTTAGAAACAAATAAAGATCTCTGATGCATTGGTTTTGACTTGTTTTTTTTGCAGATTGGTCAGGGTACTTATAGCAATGTGTATAGAGCTAGAGACCTGAATCAGAAGAAGATTGTGGCTTTGAAGAAAGTAAGGTTTGATAACTTGGAGCCTGAAAGTGTGCGTTTTATGGCAAGAGAAATCCAGATACTTCGCCGTCTTGATCATCCTAACATCATAAAGCTAGAAGGCTTAGTGACATCAAGAATGTCTTGCAGCTTATACCTTGTCTTTGAGTACATGGAACATGATTTAGCTGGACTAGCCTCCCATCCATCAGTTAAATTCTCTGAATCACAGGTCAAATGCTACATGCAGCAATTATTACGTGGACTAGACCATTGTCACAGCCGTGGTGTACTTCACCGGGACATAAAAGGATCGAACCTGCTGATAGATAATAGTGGAGTTTTGAAGATTGCTGACTTTGGGTTAGCTAGTTTCTTTGATCCTCATCAAACTCAGCCTTTGACCAGCCGCGTTGTAACTCTTTGGTACCGCCCACCTGAGCTTTTGCTCGGAGCAACTCGCTATGGAGCAGCAGTTGATTTGTGGAGTACAGGTTGCATTCTTGCTGAACTGTACGCAGGCAAGCCTATCATGCCCGGTAGAACCGAGGTAGATTTGCAGTTTTTTGTCTGAATCACTTTAAGCGTTTCCTCCTGTGTTCTAAAAGTCGCTTTAGACTCCTGTCTAGGCGGCAAATTGGTTCTAAACCAACCTATATTTTTGAACCAATATTGGGTTCAACGTTCAAAATCGGTCTGTGCGATCACCTAAACAACAATCATCTATAAACCGCCTAACCGCTGCCTCTGTTATCTAGGAGACTAGTTTGATTCCTTTTGAAATGACTCTTTGTAATGGTTATGGTGTTTACAGGTTGAACAGTTGCACAAGATTTTCAAGCTATGTGGCTCACCTTCAGAGGAGTATTGGGTTAAATCAAGGTTGCCTCATGCAACAATTTTCAAGCCTACACAGCCGTATAAACGCGTAGTTGATGAAACATTCAAGGAGTTTCCTCAGCCAGCTTTAGCCCTTCTTGAAACTCTGCTTTCAGTCAATCCCGACGATCGTGGAACTGCCACTTCAGCCCTCCAGAGTGAGGTAATGGCATCTCTCAGGTAGTAGATGATGCGCTCTTTGTTCTTATGCTTCTATTACATAACTCCTGGTGAATGTTTTTGTTCAGTTCTTTTCCACTAGACCTCTTCCGTGTGATCCTTCAAGCTTACCTAAATATCCTCCCAGCAAAGAGCTTGATGCAAGAATGCGTGATGAAGAAAGTAGAAGGTCTCACATCATCTTTACTCTGCAAACTATTATGCTAGATCACTTGTAGTGAGCTTGAATCTTTCTTTTTTTGCTGTGTGTGTAGACAAGGTGGAGGAAACAGGGTACATAGACACCAAGAAAGGAGAGGAACTAAGGAATCTCGAGCCATCCCTGCCCCTGACGCTAATGCAGAGCTGGTTACATCAATGATGAAAAGGCAGAGCCAATGTACTACTAATAGAAGCAGAAGCGAGAAGTTTAATCCACATCCTGAAGAAGTTGCATCTGGTTTCCCAATCGATCCACCAAGGCCATCATCTCAAGCATTTGAACCAAACAGAGAATCTCAGGGAAACATTGTTCTTCCTCACCAGAGAGCTTCACGTTCTGGACCTCTATCACGTAGATCTGCTTCCGCAAAGGGTAGAAGGACTTACCAAGATCCTCAGAAAGTTTCATCCATAGCTGCTGATTACTCTGCAACAAGAACAGGTGCATCACAACAAGAGACTTGTAGAGGAATGAATCGGCTTCCAGGTTCCTTTAAGGAAACCTCTGAAGAAGCAAACCAAGAGGAGAATGGTAGAAGCAACAAGAAAGATCCAATTCTTGTAAGTGCTCCTTGCTATTTTTAGTAACTACCAATGTTGAGAAACCAACTTGTCTTGTTTTGTGGTTGTAGTTGGGTTACGGATCAAAAGGGCACAAGATTCATTATTCAGGACCTTTGGTGGTTCCATCAGGAAACATGGATCAGGTGTTGAAAGACCATGACCGACATATCCAAGAAGCTGTTAGAAGAGCAAGAATTGATAAGGCTAGAGTTAGGAACCTTCAAGCTGAAGAAGCATCGAGCCAACAAGTCTCCTCAACCAATCATCCTTCATCTGTTTCTAGCCGTTGACTATCTCAGAGGCAAAAGTGGTATTTGATCAAACCAAACACTCATTTGCCTTAAAACTGTTTAACACGTCCTATTTTGAGTGAAGAAGATAATGTAGTTTTATTTATTCAAAGATTTTATATATCATATAATCAAATATTGTGACGTTTTGGTTCCATGTCATATTACTTTATTTAGGTGTAGAAACAGGTTATATATATTATAATTTAGGAATCAGAAAAATCGATTATTACATGTGATCTTTGTATTTGTATGGTGTTTTGCAAGTCCTAATTAAACCACTAGGTTACTTGAGACACAAGTAAGCTTTAATCTATACGAGACAATACAATAAATCTGTTTTATATAGACAGCCTTCAGCTGCAAGATTCTCTTTAAGCTTGATTCATTGACTCTATTTCGCACTGATTTTTTCCTGATTTAGCTTCTGCAACTAGCCTATCTAAAAGCCTCTTGAGCCTCTCTGCCCCTAAGCCAGGTCTGATCCTATCCACGTCTTCCACAACCGAGCACTCAGGTTTCCAACCGCACCACCCACCAGGAGTGAAGCCCTCTTTGTTCGTACGCATAAGCAGTTCCTTATCGATCCTATCCAAAGCACTGTCATTTGTTCTGAATTTTCGAGCAAATGCAGCACCGCTCGCAATCATGGGTCTCATGTGTGTTAGGGACAAAAAGAGAGGATGCTGCTTCGGCCGTCTGTGCCACGCAATGTAGTGAAGATCATTGTTCACCGCGGTTTTGGAGAACTCAGGCACGTTACATATGATTGTGTGGAAGTAAAACTCAGGAGAGGAAACAAAGTTTGTGTAATACATTAGTAAAGTTCTTGGTAAGTTGTCCCAACCCCAGATGATATACTCCACGAATGGGCGCGAGAGAACCATCCAAGCTGATCCTGCAAAAGAAACCAGACAACAAGTTTCACTACAACAAGAGCATAGTCAGGGTCGTCTTTTAGCATTTGCAAATGAAGCGGTGGAACATAACTTCCATTCTAACTAACTTTTAAATTTTAAAATAAATGCATAAAAAGGTTTGTGTTACAAAATAAATGCATAAATGAGAGCCAAAAACTTTAAGTTCTTACTTATAATTTTAAATTTAAGAATTATATGTTCAAAAGAAAAGTTAAACATATACACAGATGAAACTATTACTTTTAAAACTCATTTATTTTTTATATGTACCTTTAATATATTTTGGAAAAAAGCTTAAAAATGTTTTGAGACGGCATTGATTTGAGTAAATATGTTTTTAGGACTAGAACAGTACTGACCAGTATGTAACTTAAACGCATTTGGTAAACTTCGGCCGGGCCTGACCCAAAATATGTCTGATTTGTTTAGCATGTAGAGTGCAGGATCAATCATTAATGGCATTGCTCGGTATTTACTTCACCATGAGACACCAAGAAACAGTAGATTCAGCCAATGGAAACTTTAAAAAAATAAAACAATTGAGAAACTCGGTATTTACTTCACCATGAGACACCAAGAAACAGTAGATTCAGTCAATCATATATATACATATATAATATAGAGAGAAGCTCACGTTTTCCACCAACCTAAGCGACTTCTGTGGTCGATAAAGTTGAGATTACGGTCCAAAGTTGAAAACGTATACAGCAAATCTTCAAAACATGTAACATTGCTAGGTGAAACACAAGATCAAGAACATAAGGAAAGAAAGATAGAAGCGTTTACCATCTTGAGTCACAAGTGGATAATCTGAAGCACTGAGATTGATAAACCAATCCCAATCCGGGCTTCTCTTAAGATGAATGGCACATGCGTGAAGGGTATTGGCCACCATTGTTGGTCCGGTATAGGTCACAAGATTAGCTTTGGTTATCATATAGACATTACCAATCGTGGAATACATGGAATCATTACTGATGCGAGAAGCAAGCTCTAGTCTCTCTTCAAGGGGTGATTCAAGATCCATGTGAACAATGTATTGATTTCTTGGATGGTACATTGCTCTAAGAGTCCTCCAGAGGCTTTCAAGATCTCCTTTAGATCCCGACACAAGGTAGGCGAAACGTGGGAGCTTGTCAACTTTGGAATGTGGGGAAGTTTCATTTGGTGGTCGAAGTGAAGACAATAATAGACTCATGTTAAAGTAAGTTACGATGAGGAAAACGCAAACAAGAGATGTTATTAGTAATGAGAATACCCATTTCTTCTCCATGTTTGCATACCCCATTGAAGAGAACTTGTGACCATGAGACATAGATTTCTCCATTTTTTGCGTGAATCATAAAACTTACTTTAGCAAATCTTACATGAATGTAAATTATCTTGGCGTATTTAAATACTAGTGTCATTTTTTTTTCTTTTGGGGAGGATAATAGTCACTCTCTTACACCACAAAGCTGAAAATGAAAAAAATGTAAAAAAAAAAATTTAGTATAACGTATACTCCAAAAGATGATTTAGTGTCTAGATGTGAGTATAGGAGATTTAAGTCTTTACTAAATGTAAATTGTATCATATAGCGTGGTCACTGGGTTATGCAGTTGTAACATACGCACAAGTAAATGTGAAAACACCACTTCAACTACAACACTACCAAGTTACCAATACCATTCCTTTTTCAACAAAAAAAACTTTGCTTTATCTAAGAAACTTTTCTGTTTGTGGAATTTTATTAATTATGTATTTGAGATATAAATCTACCATTCTAGTCTCATAACCGTTTGGGATTGAATGGTTAACTTGTTTTATAATTAAAAAAATAAACAAATTTAGTTTTAATAAATTACGTGTAAGAAAACGATTTTTGTTTTTGTTTTTTTTTTATTGGTTGAGTTGCAACAATTGGATTAGAAAAACAAGTTATATGGTATGAGTCACTTGAATGTGACTATGCTTTTTGAAAACCAAATTTTATCCAAACTAAATGAAAATCAAAACTATGAAATTTCTGTTACTTTGAATCAAACTTGTCGTCTAAGTAGTACTAGGTGCTCTCCTGCACCATGTGCAGTAAAAAAATTTAAAATAATTTTTTTACAGATACAATATAAAATATGTTTAAAATTAAAATTTTATTAATATTATAAATTTTCTTTTACTTATCACTATTTTAATACAAAATTTTGTTTAATTAAACATAAAAATAATAGAAAATATTTTTGTTTATTTTAAATTATATTTAAGAATATGCATGTATATATTTAAAATTATAATCTTAGATAGATTTTTTTATCTATTTATTTTAATTAAATATATTAAATAAATTTGTAGAAAAAATTATAATTATCAAAAATTAAAATTAGACAATATTTATTAAATTTGTAAATATATAAGAAATTATTATTTTTACGATTAAATTTTAATAATTTTCAAAAAGGTATACATTTTTGAAAAGTTTGTAATAAAATTTTATAATTTTAAAATATATAATTAAATGATATTTTCGAAATTTATAATGCCATATTTGAATATATTTATTTTAATGATGATTTATGAGTTATTACCATATTTTAAATTTTTTTCCAGAAATATAAATCGACATCAAATCTAATATATGAGTTGTTACCATATTTTATAAAGTTTTCCAAAAATATATATTAACATTAAATGCAATTGCCCATGTCATATTTAATCATATGACATGTCATCAATTCTAGTAGACATGTCACCATTTTTTTGTGAAACCGATTGTAGAGATGACATGTGGCAAAATCACTTCGCAAATAATATATAGAGGAAACATCCCCGAAGCAGAATTTAAATTTTCTGCCACTAAAAAGATATCACTATAAGAAATATGAGTATTGGACCTATTGGTAGTAGTTCACGATATCACGAATTCATGAACTGCTATCAAAATGTCAAAAATGGATCACAACTCTATTGTACCAAAAAATTCGTACTAAGAACAAAAATTATTAAACAGTGAAACAAAATTCACAGATTTTGTTTACAATAACACTTTTGTATGAAAATTTTAGTTTGTCCGCCCAACCCTTAGAGAAAAAACACCTTTCCACCAAAACACTGAGACTATTTTTTTCTATTCTGTTTCCAGATTTCATCTCCTCCATCTATGATCTCACACACACCTCTCTCTATCTAACTCTCCTAACCTCACTCTCACACACACAATTCCTCTCACACAAACATCTCTCTCTGGTTCACTCGCCTAATCTCTCTCTCACTCGCGACACATCGATCTCAAACCTGAACTTGGGAACCCTAATCCGCCATCGCAGAATGTTCCAACTCCGACGGTGGCTCCTAAACTTGACTTGTTTACTTTGTGTCTCTCACTCAACGGCTCTTTCTTTTTCCGACGAACTCTACAGTCTCGTCCTCATCTTGTTCGAGCACTGGTATGTTGCAGAAAGTCCGATGATTTCGATGGTTCTAACCGCGCTCGCACCGGGTTCGTGAGCTGTCTCGAAGTTCCCAAAAGCATTCTCGTTCGTAGCCAAACATTGATTCGTTCTGTTTCCAGATTCGTAGTTTGTGCAGATTTTCTCGTTCTTCTAGTGATTACTCTGTTGAGAATGTTAGTGGATGAGTGAGTTATCGTTGTTGATTTTGAGTGAGTTTAGGTTTATATCTTGTAGTTTCGATCTATCAGTTTCAGAAGATTATTTATTTGTGGCTAGGCTCTTCCTTTTTCTCTGTATTTGAGTTTTAATCTCATCATATATCATCAGAAACTGCTACTAGTTTCTCTGTCGTTCGGTAAGATTGCAAATTTGTGTACATTGTTAAATCGTTCATAAGAGTGATTAAGAGGTGTTTTTGGCTTACAAAAAAAAAAGATTTCAACTTTGATTTATAAAAGCTATTAGGTTTCTTTCTTTGCTCCTAGACTTGTGTTCTTAATTAAAATCTCATTGCAGTCTGATGCTTAATGTCCATTAATCACTCTCAAGTTCTGTGTACCATACCTCTAGTTTACTTAGTCTTTTTTTTTTTGATATTTTCTGCAGGAAACGGAAGGATAGCATCGGATCTTTGCCCAGCTGTTTTCATTAAGAGAGATATCGAGCATGTCGATGCTTATCTCCTTCCTCCATGTCATTCTTGCTATAATTTGTGTAAGACTTGAAAAGAGATTATATGTAATAACTTTATTGAATATAAACCAAAAACTTTGTTATATTACGCTGTATATATATTTTTTCCAGTTACAACTTCACGTTATGTTCTTGCATAAGGAAAGCTAAAGATTCAATTACATAGTATCTATTTGTGAAATAACATCATTGTTGTCGGACCCCCTCCCTCCTCCATTTTCGATTGTATTTCTGTAGAAACGCTGCACTAGTACCAACCATTCCATATTATAGCCTGTACATTATATAATACTCGCAATCACAGTTGTATTATCTAATGCATGCCTCATAGTAGTAAGGTTCATCTATGACATATAGTTTAGAATGAGATCAACTATGAACGGTCCATTATATAGTTGACACAAATTATACCTGAAGTGGCCGAGATGGTTGGCAATATAAACACATTTATGGAATACCCTTGGGGGAGGGAGTCGTTTTGTTAACCATTGGAAGTGCAAAGCCTCGGCCAGCTTCTCAATATACCCAAGATACGGGTATCATAGCATGTTCTTGTTTCATCCTATGGTCATTAATGTTGCGACTGGATGGGCCATATTATCTAAGATGTACTATAGTACAGTGGCGGATCCAAAAATAAATTTAAGAGGTGTCAAAAATTATAAAGGATGTCACTGGTGGGGTTCGAACTGGGGTTTAGGGGTGTCAAGAGGGGACTTTTCCCAACAGAGCTGTTGATTTTTCATTGTTTTAGTGAACAAAATATTAATTATACGAATTAAAGGGTGTCACTTGACACCCTATTGGCTCAAGTAGATCCGCCCCTGCCTGTAACCAACCATAAATGACACTTGTGATTGTATACTACCGTTTTTTACATCACTGTCTCTCTATTGTATTGTCTATTTCATTTACAAACAACCACCATCTTTTTCATTCCCCATCCCCACATATTTTAGAAATTAGTCTTCTACGTCAATGCAGTAGATGTTTGCTCTGGGTTAATATAGTTTTACTATACTTTATCCTCTACACAATAGTCATATATGTACTTGCATCTATTCATATGCGCTTTAAACTTTTATTATGCCTTGGCCAAAGAACCTTGAATTCCTATGCTGCCTCGCTTTCTATAATATAAAAGCTATAGTATACAACATTTGTATTCACCCCCATTTCCCTTTTAGAATCCACTTGCGCCCCCACTATACATATGCTTATGGTATCTCTATCTTTTCAAGGTATTATACTATGTAATCTATATTATAGTATTCTGTTTCATATTTAGCATGCCGCTACAGGACATCAAAAGATTACATACACATCTAGTGTTTGATAAGTGTTACGGTATAAATGGTTCACTCATATCTTAGGCTGATTCTGTTATTTATGTTAATTTTTACTATACTAAATGTAGATCATTTTATCGGAGTAAATTTTAATATTGTTGTGTATGTCCTACTATATCATGTAAGTGATCATATACTATAGTTCTAACAGTGTCATATACTATATAGTAAGCAAAGTGTTATGTTAGCAATGTTCCACTCTCACTATCTCACGCGCACGCGAATGAAAGGAGAAAAAGGTCCACTTTTGGGTTAAATCTAGGGAAGACAAATGATGTGGGCAACGATGCTCTTAACACAACTATATAATTGGAATTCAGTAGACAAAAATTGACTTTATTGATATAAGGTTTGATACGAAGAAGTAATCGAGATCGAAGGTTACAAAGTGAGATTGAAACTAGAACAAGTTTATGACTAAAGGAACGAGGTCGATGTGAGTAGTAAGAAGCTCTAGGGTTTTTGTGCGTGTCTTGTTCTCTATCTTCCTCTTTCTTTTATAGCAAGTCCTTCGCTGATTCTTCTCAATCGTCTCTGCGTTCGGGCCACCAACTCGAACTCATCTTGTTCGATACGGGCCGAGTTTCGAACGGTGATGTATGGGCCTGGGCCCGTTTGGTTGTTACCCGAAATTGGGTCCAACACTTCATCTTCATGAAATATAGCATTTCTGCTGAATGTACACTTTTCCTTTTCGGGTAACCAAACCCTAAACCCCTTAGCGCCTTGAGGATATCCCACAAAATAGCCGTTAACCACTCTTGGAGTGTTTTTTCCTTTGTTGTGTGAACATAAGTTGCGTA